AGATCGGGACGATCTGATTTGGGAGGGAGGCAGTGTTACGAAAATGCGCCTAGAATCAATTTATTAAATGAAAGCTTTTACTATTAAATTTGTGAAGTGAGTTTTCGTGAACCCGGAAAATGAAAGCTACGGAAAAAACATAATTTATGTAGGGTTGCCTGGAAGATTCATCCACAATCCAGAAAATACGAAGAAAAATTTGAATGTATTCATCAGAATGGTCTTCTTCACCCTGGGCTAGACTTCACATCGATCACGCAAGACCCATTATTGAGCGCGAAGTAGTTGATCCGTTCTCAAAATGGATAGAGGCTAGAAAAGTATAATCAACATCATCCAAGCCATCATAAAGGTTTTACCCGAGCAGTGCATGTGACGTCATTATGTCAGATAATGCTAGAGAATTTACATCTGTGAAGCATGAAATAATTCCAGAAACGTAATTTATAATTACTCCATATTATTCGAATCTAACAAATAAGCAAAGAAAGCGTATACTCAAGACAACAAAAGTTGTATTGTCCGAATTCTCTTCTGGACATATGTTCATGCCAATGTTGTCAGACTTTTGTCACATCAACATGACAGGCCACACTGTAATACAGGACGAAGACCTGCTGAGTAACTCATAAACGAAGATTTGCTGCGTCGTAAGTTAGGCAAAGTTGTTGACAGAGGTAATATTATAGCATACTGAATGTGGAAAAAAACAAGAAGTACAATTTCAGGGTACAGAAGTGCCTAGATTGTTTGCAGAAGGAGATCAAATTGTTCTACTGTTCCTGCAGGTTCTGTATCTTATGAATTTGTTTCTTCTGGGCAGTTGTATGTATGGAGTAATTTGTTCGTTTTTTTCTCTCTAGTGGCAGCAGCGTCAATCAGCGCTTTCATGATCTTGTGATCAATTTTGCGTTTTCTTCTCGCTAGCTGGCAACATCAACGACCAATTTGGGGAATTAGCTCCAGGAGCATATCTTTTCTCCTAATTTCCACTAATTTGTCGTTTTACATTTTTTGTTCAATATTATGGATTAAATACCGATAATGAAGTTGACGTGTCTCTTAGTTTACACGGGCGTCCACGTTCGGAGCAGTGAAATGTACCTATTCCCATTTCCCAGTGACCTAATACCGATTTGTAAATTATAGTGGCAGCCTTTTATTTTTCCGAAAATAGATAAAAAAGCAGTGATTGAATTGTGAGAGGAAATATTCAATATCTTGTCAGCCTTCAAACCTTGAGCTCAGCACAAAAGAACGCAATTCGACTTCGTGGCCTAATGACATAATTTAATTTATAAATATCATTTTTTTATTCGAAGGATTCCCTTCATAAGTGGTATTATATTTTCAATAAATTTTAACCAAGGCATGCAAATAGGTGCTGCCGTGTGTTTTTTTGAAGAATAGTAAGTATGAGAAAACATTTCCAAACAATTTGAGAATTATGCTGTTTGGAAAGGTCAACTAACTTGAAAAATAACTTTGTTATATCCATAATTATTGTCAATTCTCTCAAAATTGAATTTGTCCCGAAGCTGAACCCCAAAATGGTACAACATCCGCGCATTATAAATACCTATTTACGAACGAGTACCTACCTAAGTAATTTATGCCTATAGATAAATACAATGTAATAATGTTACAGGCAAATGTTGAGATAAGGGAACATTGTAGCCAGAATGTGTTAGTATAATATGCCCGCAGGATATCTGATAACGTTAGAGTGACCCATAAATCAACAAATAAACTACATAGGTATATATTTTTAGTGAGATAAGTGAGCTAAACTGGGTAGGTTTCTAACGTTAAAACACGTGATATTAAGCAGATTTGAAAAAAAATACAATATGTTTGCCCAAATTTAATAAAGGGAAGTCTCTGGAGCAAACAAAATACGCTTGTGTGAATGAAAAATAATCGGTAAGTATATTTATTTATACTAATCTTGCTTTATTTTTCAAGAAACGTAACCCTAGAAAACGATATTTCTTCCAAAATGTGTAAATATTACAGCATTATTCTCATCTTGCCCCCAACAGTGGGGGCAAGACTGCTTGCGTCCTGTCATGTCATATTTTTTCACAATAAAATCGGAGATTTACTTTCTGGGCGAAAACTGCGATCTTTTTCGAACAGAATCATGAATTTCTAGCTTGAAACGCAGCCAAATAGGAATTAATGTAAAATTTAAGTACTCCCTCAGTCAAGATATTTTATGAGTTTTATTTTTAATTTTATGAGGGTAATTTTTTCATTAGTAGCCAATAAAAAAGAAACACTAATTTATTGTTCATATAAAAAGGATTTATTTCGGGAAAGCCGATTTTATTATCGATAATTAAATTAAATTGATGTTGAAATTTTCATAATAGGTCAACTGAATATTTAATACCTGATTGATAAAGATTGTGAGGCTTTCGATAGCAGACACACCAGAATCGGACATGGAAGCACCTCTGAAGATGCTAGCCACGCGTGCTTAGCGAAACGTCAGGAAGAAATTCCAACTTACGACGGCCATTAAGCCCGAATGAAAACCCCTCATCAATAATACCTGATTGTTTATATCAAATATTATTTTGACATGCAAATACAGTTTCTTATGGTCATACAAAAAATCTCCTTTATAATGTTAATGGAAAAACAATAGAAATATGAATTTAGAATTTTTTTTATTATCGTGAATGTAGATATACGAAGTAAAATATAAGCGTTTTCAATCTCGTTTTATAAAAAATATTTTAACAGAACTAAAAAAGATCGGAGGTCTGAGACATTGGAGAGTTTCACCAAAGAGCGGAGAAGATGTAACAAGACCCTCTTTTACATCTTCTCTGCTCTTTGGTGAAATTCTCCAATGTCTCCGACCTGAAGGTACTGTGGAATATAGAGACTACTTATAAATGTGTGGACGAACTCCTCCGGTGCTTTAGGTGCTAACTGACGGAGGACACCGAATAATATGCTCACAGGGCAAATTCAACTCTATAGTTAAGGGCGCATTCAACATGCTCTAGATCAAACAACCAGCTAGGTGAATCGAGAAGGGTTGAATATATTAGTTCCAACAAATTCACTGTCGTACCGAAGGCGGAAACTAGAAGGGCAGTTCCCAGCCTGACGGGTTTTATACTGAGGTCAAGTATCTGCGAGTTACACTGGACTCCAGACGTACCTGGAACCGAAATGTGGGAAACACTACCTATAAAGCGGTAGCAACAGGGTCAACTAACTGCTACAGTTTAGCAGGAACCGGATAAAAATTATAACGGGCCTTATGACTAACCAGGAACCAGTAAAAGGCCACCTGAAAAAAATGGGTTCGTATGACTATGCGAGCCTAACTGCTGATTCTGCAATAGAGAAAATGCAGATTCTGCAATCAAGAACCGGAAACAGTCAGAGACATGCTAACCATTTATGAGGCACGGCACAGGGCATGAACATTTTCTGGAGTGGTTGCAATAAACCACACAGCCTCAGTACAATAAGCCTCTTTGGGCTTCAGTGCTTTATAAGGAAGTGAGTCGGACAGGCCAAGAAGATAGAAAAAAAGTATATCCTTGAAGGAGGTTGAAATAGGCATCGCCCTCTATAGGAGCATTGCAACTGGAAACGATTTTGTATATTCGGTAACATATTTATTAATAGAATATTAGCTACATACGTTATGATTGGTATATAGGATGCAAATAGGGTAGTGGACAGTTTTTTGAAATATTTTTTTTATTAATCTTCATAACAAAATAAACAGTAGTTGATGATTCTTTGATTTTAGAAAACAAAAATATACGTGAAAAAAAATTAACAAATTTATTCTTTTTTTAAATGCTATAATTTACCGCCCGAAAATTACGTCATAGCTATTATGTCCAATAGCGTCGAGGCAATCCGACATTAATAAGAGTGGCGAGAGCGCGGTCTGCGCGTCCATAATATTTCATACGCTTTTAGAAAAAGATGCTGATAAACTCGGTGCGCACTGATCGACAAATAGAAATCTCTCAAAAAGTGGGGTTATGTTGAGGGTGCGCCTAGATGTAATGATAACCCGACAGACGTTGATATATCTCTCTTTTTTGCACTAATGAGTAAGTTTGTGTCGAACATCGGACGTGGGTTTGATTTAATTCATACTCAAATACAGCAGCTATGACGTAGAATCAAGGCGCGAAATATTTCCGTTTAAACAGTGCGTCCCAAAACTCTACTTTCACAACCGTTTAAAACAAAGGTAGTAATTTTATTTGAAATTTCTGTTAATACGAATATTTTTTATTTACTTCATAGATGAAGAATAGATTATCGATTTCATTGAAATTATACCTTGTCCACTACCCTATTGCATATAAATTGATAATTTGTAAAGTTCTTTACTGCTCAAATTTTGCAATTCCAATTTCTAATTGCCCATTGTTGCCTTCCCTATGTCGAGGGCTAGCACAATTGGATTGAGTTTGTGACAAAACGTGTTAGACAATTTGCTTTTTTAGTCCTGTGTTGTATGCAGAATGTATTTTTTGTAGTCAATTTAGCACATTTTCAAAAACTACAATATACAATAATACCTACTTGTTAACTTTTTGATACACTACTCTGCGATACAATTGATTAACCTAATAAATACATCAGCTCTCTCCTTCAAATTAACATTGAACTGTCAATTTTTATTATTAGAAGTGAGTACAATTTATGCAAATCATAAAGTTCAAAATTTTCAAGCCAGCTATGGAAAAGTACTAAAGACTTACGGCGGCTTCTGATTGATGTCTGCCCGTTCGTTTTACTCAACTTACACAAAAAAAAAGGTTCTGCTATTTACAGTACGGTGAAGAAATTTTATTGTTCAATAGAAAGACGAAAAAAAATCGAAGCGAAGTTTACTTATTCCCAATTATGTTCAACTCGAATACATTTATTTCGTAAAACCTCCAGCCCCCCTATATTGTACCTCGCATCAACATTAGCATATTGAACACCTTTGTTTTTTTTTTCAGCGGCCTACTTCTACGCTAGCACTTACAAAACAGCCGACAGCCGCGGATTTAGATTAAGAGATGAGAACAACAACGGGGATGTTATCAGACGGTACAGGAAGGAGAGCGTCACTTTGACACTCCCCGAGGGGAAAACATTAAATAACATCAAGATCTTTTACGTATGGTGCGAGGAGTTTGACGTAAGTTATCGTTTCCCATATACTGCCAAGATACCTTTCAAACAGTCTGGTTTAAATTCTATCTTGTCGCGATCGTATGTTCGAAAGGGGGCACGAATTCTTGCCAGGATATAATTTAGTCTTGGCGATGATGTTTAAGATATTTGATTCTGTTTGAAACCTTTTTTTGGCGCATTATTTAACATTTTATCTTGATAAATGTATAGCCAAAATTATGATGCATTTTTGTGTTTTCCAAAAAGTTTATCATTCCTTGAATATGTTTTATTGGTTCAGTTCAGCTAGATATTATCAGCCAAGGTGCATTTGGCTGAAATATATCTGTTATGATCTTCAGTATTTTTAATTTATCTGAGAGAAATAGCCCTGAGAAAATAGCTGCGTCATTATATGGACATATAAACTTTCAATATAAGGATAACGTGCGTTTTTTCATCATTGTCACTTTTCCCCTTTACAAGTTGTTGCTACCAAATTTCAGATTCGACGTTTCGTATTTGGGCGGCCATCATCAACTTTATTTTTTTAAATACGGACCTGGATTTTTTATTTCAGATTTTAAGAGCTTCTGATGTCCCAAAACCTATGACGTATCGCATTTATTCGAAAAATTTACATTATTGGCACTTTCCATAAAAACTAAATGTGTTAGAGAGAGACGGAGAAGAGAATTTTGTTGGGAAATTACTAAAAAGTAAAACAAATACAACAGTTCCCGAATTTAAACAAAATACCTACAATAACACTCTTATAAAGACTGACTCCAACAAAGTTCTTGTCTAGACTGACCCAATACCTACTACTACGCGCTATTTATAGTCGAAATCGCATTTCGAATCGATCTAGAAAAACATGTTTATCGAATATAAAAGAATTCGAGCGCTGCCCGACGCAAACAACGAACTTCTTGAAATCCGGCCATGCTCTCGAGGCAATTTCATAACACTGCCTTTAATTTACTTAACATGTCTGACGCTGACTTACCAGATCTACCCTCATGTTTGCGTGGCTCTTGTTCCCTTGGACTGACGTCAGGAATAATACTAGGAGAACAGCTACCTGTTCTGCCTTTCGACCGAGGTCTAACTCTTTTCTAGTTGATCGCACTTTCCAACTGTTCGAGACTCTGTTGTTCATCCGCATCCAATGGAAAGCTTCTAACAGGAACTATTTCTCGCTGATCAAGGCAGTTCTTGTCTTGATCTGGGCATGCTCGGTTAGATAAGGCATCTGCGTTGTTAGACAGTTTACCAAAGCGATGTTTGTGGGCAAAATCGCATCGTTGCAAATTTTCAGTCGAAGGTCGACAGTCATCACAAGGAGATCGAGATGTCGGTTGTGCTCTACACTTAAAATAGCTTCTTCTTCCGGAGGGGTAACATTTATTGCTCTTTTTTAATTTCGCCAGATTGATCCTGATAACAGCCTTCCATAACTCTCCCAAAAATTCCTTCATTATTGTTTTTTATTGTCTTATTTTCAGTTGTACCTGGTAAAGCTACCGTCGGTGTTGATCTCCATAACGACGGTTCAATGCATCACCAAGCGCAGCATAGTTTTGTAGGGAATCTGGCGGTTCCAACTTACGGATGAACAGTTTCAATAGCTTCCTGATTGTTATTCTCGATTTCTTCACGTACTTAGTCTGGTGTGTTCCTCAGAGATTACAGTCTGCATCCATTCTCGCTGAAATTTAAAATCTGTTCTAAAGCTGGTCCTGCTCTTCTTGTTTTTCTCTCAATATTCGATATTCTTGTTGTTGAAAAAGTGCTGCAAGCCGATCCTGTAGTTCTTTTTGTCTCTGGTCTTCCTCTTCTCGTTTTTCTTTCTGTCTTTGTTCTTCTTCTTTTTGTTTTTCTTTCTGTCTTTGGTCTTCTTGTGGTTGTGCAAGTTCTGCATAGGCCGGTCCTGTTCTCCCTGTTTATCTTCCGTCTTCTTTTTCTTGTTATCATTTCTGTCTTTGGTCATCTTGTTGTAATTAAAGTGCAAAAGTGCTGCAAGCCGGTCCTGTTCTTCCGGTTTCTCTTTTTATCTTAGGGTTTCCTGTTCTTGTCTCTTGTCTTCGTCTGTATCTTTCTTTAAACTTGATTTTCAATCTGTTTCGAAATCAGTAATGAAGTCACTATTCTTGTATCACTGACGGTTTCCAAATAGAATTCTATAGAAGTTTCTAGACTCCGCTGTATGCTTCATTTTCGATGTCGAAGCCAGCAATTAAGTCACTATTCTTGTATCAGTTACGGATTCCAAAATAAATAGAATTCCATAGAAGTTTCTAGAATTTTCAAGAAAATCCGCTTGTGAGCTTGTTCTCGATATCAAATCCGGTCATCAGTAATGAGGTCACTATTCCAGTTCAATAAAAGTTTACTGATTGTTCTCACTAGTTAGCTCAAATAAATGCAACAATTTTCTTGCAAATTATTCCACTAATTAGCTCAAGCTAGTCCAGTAGTTATCTTGCCAAATGATGCTACTAATTAGCTTAAATCAATGCTCCAATTGTCTTACTAATGTAGATGTAAAGTAATATTTTACCCACGCGCGAGGCTTCTCTTGTGGGAGAAAAAATCTGTATTTATTGTTAAATTATAAAATTCTTGTAAATTCTATATTGTACTAAATGACAATAAATGCCATATAATAAAAAAAAAAAAAATCTGACACCAAATTGTCACGGATTCCGGGTTCACTAAAACTCACTTCACAAACAGTAACAACTTTAAGAAAAAAATTAACAAATTGACTTATCACTCATCGAAACGTGCATAACAAATCCCAAATTTGAACTAATACAACAACACTCTTATAAAGACTGGCTTCAACAAAGCTCTTATCCAGACTGTGTCAAAACCCACTCCTACGCGCTGTTCATAGTCGAAATCGCATCGCGGATCTATCTAGAAAAACATGTTTATCGAATAGAATAGAATTCCCAGAAAAGTCGCGCTGCCCGACGCGAACAGCGAACTTCCTAGAATCCGGCCGAGCCCTCGAGGCAATTTCATCACAGTATGTTCTTTACTCTACCTTTAAAACCATACTTCTAGTTTTTCTATTAGCAGTAGACGATTTATGGTTTCGAAAGCTTTTCTGCTGTTCAGAAACACGATGCCTACTACGTCCGAGACATCACTGTTTGAATTGAAAATCATTATTATTCTCCAAACTATACTATAAATCGCCACGATTTTATGCGCACGCCGCTTTTCTTATAACGCATGTGAAGAACTTTTCAGCTCGCATCATAATCATCATACCTCCACTAACCTAAAATGTGATAACTATGCAGCCCACGCAATGTTATATCATGCTTTATGTCACTTTATTAAAAACAAGATCTTGCCTAGGATAATTATTAGCCAAGTGCATCTTCTGATTCAAATATATTTTCTAATGATAATGGTGAAAACTACAGCACTAATTTTTCACTTTAAAGTCGCTAATTGTTTCTTCTTATTACTTTTTTTAATCTCTCGCTTTGTTAGCCCTCAACGGCAACCCAGTTATTCTCTCGTCACTAACTCTTCACGAGTCACGACGAAACTTTTCCCTCTTCTCCGACTTTCGAAAGTTAAATTGAACCTCAATTATTCTTCTTTGTAAACTTACCTTCTCAACCAAGTTGTACTTTATGTTTCCCCTGATAATGCTCGAATTCTTTCCTAATTCGCATAAAGATTTTACGCCCGACTTCTTCTGCGAATTAAAGTGAGAATTATACACTCCATAATTGTTGGTAATGAAAATGTGTTATCGCTTGAAAATATTCGCTTAGTTGCACTATTTAATTATTTTGGCGCAGTCACTAATTAATCGAGCACCGCCTAGCAAGTGTTAGACTGGTCGTCCCCATTGGGGTATGTATGAACTAAAAAAAGATACCTTGGGTAATACTATTTTTGTTTTAATTTGGAAAAGTTGCTCCCTCCTGCAGATCTACAAACGCGTTCAGATAGATATCTTCTTAAAATGCCTATTTGAAAATGAAATTATTTTCACTTTGGATATCAGGTGTCGGTCGTATCCAATTTAAAAGCATGGAGACTATCGCAAAAGGTACATATCAGAAAACAAATGCTATTGATTTGCTGTGAGTATAACAAATAAAATAAGCAAATCAAAAATAGACTCAAAAAGGCATACTTGATGGTATAATGCCATGTCCTTGATATAGGGATATACCTACACATTTGAGGGTTTTTGTTATGTAATGGAAATAATTATACAGTGTCCCCATAACGTTCGCTACATATGGGGATTTTTTTTATTTGTAGGATATAGATTTTTTTCTTATGTGCGATCGATCCTGCATGTCCGATCTCCTAAAAGTACATTTAGACATTGGTCACGTGATCACTGTTGTGGCGGCAAATTCGAAAATTTATATTTTAAGAAATACGAAAAGTGGGATTAGATGGCATAATATCGGAAAAAGTTCTTTGAAAAAAGTGATAAGAACGATGTTTTGGGGCTGTCTGCGAAAAAATTTGAACAAAAGCAACAAAAAATAGGAAATTACTTATTTTTCGCCATGGATCTCTTATCAAATAATATTATACAGTAGGTATATATTATTGAAGAAATAGTCCAAATACCTCAATATTTAATGTGCATTGATAAAAGAAGCTTATACTCTTCATTGGAATCATTCCTAGAGAATTAAATAAAAATATTCGATTAGCACAGGAAACTTTTCTGTAGCAATACCACGTATCTTGACAGTTAAGTAGCGTGATTTAGAACTGTATTGAAATATTTAATAAAAAATCTCAATAACGGTTCCTTTCAATTGTTGTGTCAATAGTGAATTATTGGAAATCTCACAAACTGTCAAGATACAGGGTATTGCTACAGAAAAGTTCCATGTGCCAGTCGAATATTTTTATTTAATTCTCTAGGAATGATTCCAATGAAGAATTTATGTTTGTTTTACCAATACACATTAAATATTGAGGTACTTGGACTATTTCAAAAATAAAACCTGTATAATATTATTTGATAAGAGAGCTATGACGACAAAAAAAGTAATTTCCTGTTTTTTGTTGCTTCTCTTCCAACTTTCGCAGACAGCCCTAAAACATCGTTCTTTTCACTTTTTTCAAATAACTTCTTCCGAAATTTTGCCATCTAACCGCACTTTTCGCGTTTTGATATCTAAATTTCCGAATTTGCCGCCACAACAATGATCACGTGATCAATGTCAAAATGTACTTTCAGATTATCGGACTTGCAGGATCGATCGCACATAATAAAAAATTCCATATCTTACAAATAAAAAAATTTCCCATATGTAGCGAACATTATGGGGGACACTGTATATAAATATAAATTTTTTTCAAGACTTTTCTATATATTCCAGGTAAACTTCGGAGACATAAAAATCCCCCGCAATTTCGACTTTCCGAGGCCTCAGAAAATCGACGCGTTGAAGGGAGTTCACTCAATCTCTTCGGACAACATCGTCATCGTTGACGCTCAAACCTTACTAATACCCAATCTGCACTATGACGGAGAAGCCCCAGGTGAGAATCAGTAACGTAGAAAGATTTCTTGAACTTAATAACCGTCTCAATTAATTAGCTGATTAGCAGCCAATTATTGGATCTAGTTTCTTTATGTGTGTCACACTAACTAGCGGACACCTGTTAGATGGACACTTTTCAATGTCCTCATATTATTACCTTGGAAAGTTTTATTTTAAGAACGAAGCGCTGGATTCCAAATTTTTTACGTTGATCACATTATTTCTTTCCAGTGCGACCAGCATAGTAAAATTATTTAAACTTTATGCCTTGTACCTTGGTTTATGATAAACATCAAAGTGACGCCAATGTTCTGCATACTACACGTCTCTCCTATCTACAACGAAATTTAGCTTTCTCTATCGGAGTATATGTTTCACAGATCGAGGATTACGAGTAGCTTTGAAATCGCCGGCGCGGCGCTTTTCTAAAAGTTTAATATTCCATCCCGAGTTTTAGGTTCGTCGGGAAAATCTGTAATTCCTCTCAGAGAGTTCGGAAAATTATTTTCAAATTTATGGAAACCCTGTCTCAATAAATAACCTGACAAAAGTTTGCTTTCTTACCTTCGTCGCTTGATTTAGGAGTTTCTATTTTTTTAATGTAGGATTGAAGATATATACCATATCAAACAAGCAGATCTAAAAAGACAACTAGAAAGAAAAATGGTTTGGTAAGTATTGGAGATTTGAACCAAACTAAAGCGTGCAGCATCTAAACTGTTAGAGAGGACCATACTACGACTGTGATTCCATATTTAATTGTGGGTTACTGACAAAGTCTTTCATCGTTAAAAAAGGATTTAGATTCTCTTGCCAATTACAAAATCTTATTATTATAGAAACTAAATCTGACGAATCAGTAGCAATATAATAAAGAGACCCTTCTTTCTCGTTGGCAGAGTAATCGTATTATTTATTTCTAATTAATTTTGCCCATCCCCGAACCATCAGGTTGAACGAAACGAACAATCTGCGCTACAACTTAATCAGCTTACTGCAAACTTACCCAAAGAAATAAGGCGATGAGAAAATAAGATTTCATTGCTTCAATGACATGAAGTTTGTTCATAAAGGGATACACTTTCCAAATTTGTTTTTTTTTTCTGATATGCCTAATTAAATTCAGGGAAATGAAAACCTAGATTTTTTGATCTTCTGATTCAACTACCTGTTTCTACCTTATAAGATTCCCATTATCGGCTATAACGGACAACACTGAATAATTAATTTATTCACGTCTTACTCTGCGCTTTTCCTAAAAGCACCCAGTTTATTAGTTTGTTTTTACTATAAAAAGTACTGTACAAGAGCGCGTTTTATGACAATTTATCATTCTGCTTATAAAAAGATTCAGTGAAAGTAGCGCCAAGAAAACATAACGGGACAGCAGCGAGAGTGTTGTTGGTATAATTTCTCCTAATAAAGGTATATGACAACACGAGAGCGAATAAGAAATAAACAATATCGTTTATAATTGTTGAACTGGGATTTATTAAATAAATTCGGCACAGAAAGTAGTTATTAAAATTATGTTGGCGGAAGAAGTACATTAAACTTGTCAACTGTGACTTTTCTCTTTCAAGGATTGCATCTAGAAAAATTTATTATTATACGATTACCAACCAATTTCAACCACAGAAAAATATAACTCGTGTCTAGGAAATAATATCGATTGGGTTGCGGTCAATAGAAGTAGAAGGATTATTGTGCCCCAGTCAATCTATAGAATCGACCCAGACGACCCATAGATCCAACAAACTATGATTCCCAAGAAATTATCCTTCCACAACTCCCTTGGAAGTGAAAAGCCCAAGGATGTTCCAAACTGCACAATTGTGCATATTGATGCACACTATCAATTTATATGCAGAGTATGCACCCAATCTCTAGATATGCACATTTTGATTTCTAGAATAAATCTGCTACAATTTTTTAGTCAATAAATAGAACAAAAAATATTCTGAATTTGGGGTTACTTTTCAGTAAATTTGTACTGAGTGTCAAGTACACTGTACTCTATACATACTCCCATACTCTACACCGTTGATTGTCTACACTCTGTACACTCTACTAACCTGTACGCCACCAAGGATGATACACACTACTACTTCAGGATGACCTATCCTCATAAGGCCTGTGTGAAACAAATCCCCTCTCTCTCCCCCAAGCCAAATCACCAGTTGTGACGTAGGCAGCATGTTATTTCTCGACTTGACGTAGGCTGTTTAAACAGTTGACGACTTACTTATGACGTCGGAAATGGCGACACACCAATATGGCGGCGATTACCAAAAACGAGGCCGATAAGCAATCCTGTAGGTGTGTATCATCCTTGGTACGAGGTGTTGCCAATGACCCGATAATTATCGAATTGTACTATAATTTTGACTACGATTCATTAATCGATAACGACGAGCTAATAAGCTACCATAATTTATTGAAACTACAATTTTAATACAAATTTTTCAAATTTTTTGATAAAAATTAAAAATTAATTAAAAAGGTTGTTGTTGGTTTTGAGTTTTTGATATACTTGTGCCAGCACCGAACACTAGTCCCAGAGTCCCAGCTAGACCCAGAAAAATAAAAATAGAGATAAAAAGTCAAAAAAGTTGATAGGAACTTTTTCTGATTATACAACTCACTGTACATTATTCCCATATGACACGAGAGGCTTAAGAAATGATAAGCCTTTTGGGATTATCGCGCTTGGTGGCAATATTGTTCATTTGCTATTAATAATAATAAAAATTAATAAAGTATGGAAGTTTAGTTCGTTGTATAACCTTTAGAATACCACTCGATGTTTCAGGATTACCTAATACTTTTACCTGACACTCAACGCGTTATCAGCAAACACTCCTTCGGAGTCGTGGTGTTGCTGCGTAACGCGTTTCGTGACAGGTAAAAGTATTATTCGGTACCTAATCCTGAAACCTCTTGTGATATTACATTCGATAATTTTTCTTGGAATCTGATAATTTTGTTCTCAAATCCTGATAATTTTAAATTTGACATCTGGCAACACTGTTGGTATGCCACTGCCCAGTCGGCTCCAGCCCAGTCCAGCTTGCTCGACAATCGACAATGAAAATACAAAATATTGGCAACGGAACTGTTGTAAAAATAAACATACATATTGGCAACTGGCAACATTGAAAAGCAAAACAAGGGGGATGCACATTTTGTGTCAAATAAGCCCACTTTTTATACAGTCAAGTGCACATTTACAAATTCTCTCGGAACATCCCTGGAAAAGCCCCTAATATTCAATTTTGCCTCTTTTGCCGCCAGGCATAATACAATTTTATAGGTAACCCCTCGTCCTCGAGTGCCTCCATTTGTCTTGATATAGATGATAAAAAAAAGAAAGACTTTCAAATAGAACATTTATATCATTATAATACCATGATAACAATAAAGTCTTTTTTGCCTTCTAGAAGGGAAAATAAAAATTACAAATGGCGAAGAGTAGGCTAGGAAACTTCACCTTACTCTAACCTAATTCTATATACTTCATCATACTCGATACCGAGTATGATTATCTTCTATTCTATTCTCATTAGATTGAGCGTTTTCTGATGGCTATATAAACCAATTCTAGAGCCGCACACTCTTCCACAGTCTTGCTTGGCACACCCAGTCTCTGGTAGCATTGCCTCTCCTTCTGTTCTCTCGCTCCTTCCTGCAGTCCCTCTTTTCGGTCTCGTGTCCGCGTCGATGTTCTTCAAAACTTTGTGGTCCGTCGTGGACTAAGCGACACCATGACGGCCTATCATTTGCCGTCGTTTCCCAGTTGCTAGTGCAGCACCTTGCCATATTTTCTTAAGAACTTTGTAGACCTCCTTGATTTCGTTTTCCCTCTTTCAGTTGACTGAAGAGAATCTTCCGTGGAAGACATGTTTCAGACATGCGGACAAGGGGACCTGTCTAGCGAAGTTGGTGCTTAATGATGAGGGCTTCATAGCTAGTTGTTTTGGCCTCCTCTAAAACACTAATGTTGGTTCGTCGGTCTTGCTATTTAATCCGTAGGATCCTTCTTAGGGATCGCTGGTGGTATTTTTCTAGGCTATCTATGTGTCTTCTGTAGGTGGTATCACCCAGTTCTTGTTTTATTGGTTTCTGTGGAATTTCATTGAAGATGTCATCATTAATTTGTGATTTTCTGAGTAGTTTCTGAAAGTGTTCCTTCCAACGAGAATTAATGGAGGAACTGTCCTAAAGCAGTCGTGTGCCATCTTTGGATCGTAGGGGATTGTGTGTCAAGTTTGTTAATAGTGGTTGGTCCGTATACCATCTTAGTAGCCTGGTGCTGTTGGATTCAGCTAGTTGCTGCATTTCGTTTGATTTTGTTATCCACCATTGGTTCTTTAGTGCTCGCGTTTGCATTTGAACTTCTGCTTTTGCTTGTTGGCATTGTCTTTTTTTCACAGTCGAGGTGGGGTCGCTTTTCCATGCATTATGCGCTCTTCTTTTTCTTTCTACATGATCTTGAATTTCAGTGTCGTTCTCATCAAAACACTCTTGGTATTGGTTTCCATGGAATTTCATTGAATATGTTATCATAAATTTGTGATTCTCTGTTGAGTAACTCATGGAAATGTGCCTTCCAACGAGAATTGATGAAGGAACTGTCTTTAAGCAGTCGTGTGCCATTTTTGGATCGTAGGGGATTAAGTCCTTGAGTGGTTGATCCGTATACCTTCTTAGTAGCTTGAAAGAAGCCCCTGGTGCTGTTGGTCTTCAGCTAGTTGTTGCATTTCGTTTGATTTTGTTATCCACAATTGGTTCTTTAATGCTCGCTTTTGCCTTTAAACTTCTGCTTTTGCTTGTTGGTATTGTCTTTCTATTACAGTCGAGCTGAGGTCGCTTTTCCATGGATTATGCGCTCTTCTTTTTCTTTCTATAAGATCCTTTATTTCAGTGTCGTTCTCATCAAACCAGTCTTGATGTTTCTTTTGTATGCAGCCGACCGTTTTTTCCGAGGCAGATGTTATTGCGGTCTTCAGTATTTTCTAGTGCTCCTCAATGCTTTCCGGGTACTCTAACGAAAGCGTTCTATGTTAATTTTGCGTTTCAACTGCTTTTCTTGACATCTACGCTTCGGTGGGATGCGCAATTTTATTCTAGCTCGTATCAGTTGATGGTCAGTCCAGCAGTCATCCGCACTTGTTAGAGATCTCGTAATGCATACGTCATTCCGGTCTCTAGAACTTTCAATTATATAATCGATTAGATGCCAGTGCTTCGACTGTGCCTGGAAGTCTTCAATTTATTCTTTTGTCGAAAAAGTGTATTCGTTATATTCTGAACATGTGGTTAGTAGCCGAAGTCTGCAAGAAGTTTGAATTCATTTTTCCGACGCCTTCCTTGCCGATCAAGCCTCTCCATTGTTTTGACTCTGTACCGACCCGGGCGTTAAATTCACTTAAAAGAACAAGTTTATCATATCTAGGTACAGATGATATGGTTTGACTAAGTTGGTCATAAAATTCCTCTTTTTGGTTATCGTCACTTGTGAGGGTTGGAGCGTGGGCGCTGATTAGCATAGGTTGTTGATTTTTCCTGAGGTTTAGTCGCAGTCTCATCAGTCTTTCGCATATTCCGGATGGAATCTCAGCAAGATGGTCCATAATTTACCCCACTCCGTGGATGCGAGGTTCATTCTCTTCCTTCCCTTTCCAGAAAAACGTATTGCCTCCTCCGTGCTCCTCAAGTTGACCTTCGCCTGCTCTTTTGGTTTCACTTAGAGCTGTAATTTCGATGTTAAATCTCCTCAATTCCCGTGCCACCATTGCCGTTCTTCGTTGTGGTCTTGTATTTGTGCTGGTATCCATAAGTGTACGAATATTCCACGTGGAAAGATTTAGTCTGTTTTGTTTCGCCCGCATGGGGTGCACCCTCTGGACGCAGTTATCCATTCGGGCAGTTGTTGGCTGGCAAACTGTGCATGATTTTTATTAACGTGGATATGCTGATGCACAGTCAGCAGTCCCACGATCCCACTGGCATGGAAACTAAGACGATTGGGTCCCTCGAGCTTAGTGCTGGGCGCTGGCTGATTGTACTATCAAGTATTGAACTGAAACCGCGGACGATAGAATCGCCAAATCCATACGCCTATATATACTCAACCTCACCATCACCAACACAACTGGTATCCGTAATGGCACTACACTAAAATTATTTAGCCTAATAGAAAACTGGAAATAGGAAAGGGAAAAGAGGAAAAAACTAGTAGAAAGTCGTAAAAATTGTACACTCTACTTACGAGTAGCAAAATGTATGAAAGAGGAGACTATGGCGCAACATTGATTGATGTTTCAAAAAATGTTGAAACAATAATTGATAACGGTAGTAACTTTGTGAAGTCATTTAAGGAGTTTAGTATAAAACTGGAAGATATCGAGCCAATTGACATATCATAGGAAACTCACTACTCAGGAGGCCAACGTGGATGAAGGGGAGGACTATATGTATATCCCAATTGCGGAATGTACCGCTACGGACGCTGAATATTACATAATTTTGCTAAGGCACCTTAGATGCGCTAGTCATAGGCATAATCTTTCGGCAACAAGTGATGTAAAATCCGTCTTGAACTCTAACATTTCTTTGTGATCTCGACATACAACTATTTTAAATAAGTGCAATGAGCTTTGGAAATACGCTGCAACCCCCAAGAGTACAGAAGTGCTTCAAGAGAAACTTAGTTAGCCGTTGTTTAAGTTCCCCAACAGTCACTGGCTGGAATTCGTTTTTTAATTCAATTTCTTAAATATTATGTATATTTCCAACCAAAACCGAACAATATAAAGAACTAAATCTTCAGGAAAATTCTTGATTCCTGCTAAATCATAAAAGTTTAATTTATTATGTTTGGTTACCATCACTTTTCATCACTGATTAATAGATCATACGATGCTTCGCAGCATGAGTTTTTTCCCTGTTTTCTTCTAATATAATCTACGTTGATCTATTTTATAATTTCGGCAGTCTGCAGCTGTTTGTTTATTTTTTTGAAGCTCTTGACAAAAAGTTAATATTTTGAGCTCGCTTTGTAATAATATTTGAAATATGCGGATTTATGGTGTTTTGGTCAAAAACGATTTCGATTTATTCAGTTATTTCTACTACTTCATCGCACCTATGATTAAGGTACAGTTCTAAATTCAGGAACATAATTTCCGCTTGATATGCATGTTATTTCCAGATGTACGACCTCATTTGCCCAAGCAGTATGCGCGTGCCTTTCACATTACAGAACGTCGCATAAGTTCTACGAAGTCAGGAAATTTAGCAATCACCGTGAGAAGGATGCTGACTGCGTAATTTTAGCTACTACTATAAGTAGATAAAATCAATTGTATTAGAATAAGGCCCAGTTTATTCACCTTCGGATAAACTGGCAGATGATGCCGTCTGCCGGATAAAAACAGAGTCTATAATCCTAGTTTGGTAAATGTTTTGTAGACGATTACCAGCAAATTATACCTAATATTATATTATGATGAAAAAAGTTAAATTCCTTTATGCCGTCCTTACTTCTTATTGGAAGATAATATTGAATTTGCATTATTTTAATATTCAAAAATCGTTTTTTTTTTTTCAGATGCTAAATTCTGGTCTGGAAGAGGTCCCAAACCATCTCCTCAAGGCATTAGAATCCCCGATGAAAACGGCAAAGAAGTTCCACTACGCAAATACGACGGCAAAACCGTAGTGCTTACCTTACCTGGAGATTTAACTGTATTTGATATTGGCCATTTTGGTATTTGGTGCGAAGAGTTTACCGTTGATTTTGGCCATATTCAAATTCCTCAAACTTTAAACATACCGCCTTCATTGAAAATGCTTGGAGTCAGCCCACAGGTGAGCTTTAGGAATGAATAAGAATTCAAAAAAGTGATTACTTTGGGGAAAAAAAAAACAATCCCAAAGTAAGAAATAAGTTTCACATATTTATCAATTTCAAGTTTTCTCTTATTTCCTTGTCTCCGCGATTTCAAGGTTATTCAGAAATTTTTCATCATCCTTTTTCTTTGTAAGTGTCTCTCATAATTGAGGTCTTGTATCACACCTCTTTTGAGAAATGACCTGTTAGTAATAAAGCCCTGCCCTCTCTGTTGTTCCAGAAGCGGCATCAGTTACTGGTTTCCCATCAGAACTCGAGAGAGGTAACCGTGCGAAGGCCTCAAATTGGGGGACACTTACAACCAACCACTTTTCGACCTCATCACGCCACCTTCGAAAGACGGTATCAAACTGTATATGATGGTCAACGGCACCAAAATTTCGTGCAACAACAACCAAACGGATATGTTCCTTTTCAAAACTATCAAGATAGACAAGATGATCAACAACAGCAACAGCATTATCGTCAACATCAATTCATTCAGCAAGGTCAGCTTCATCATCAACCATCACCATTTTTACAACAATTCATCGGACAGTATCAGCCATCAAATACTCATCAACCAGTGGCTTATCAACCAATAAATCAAAACCAAAGACAATATCAAGATCAACAAAATAAATATAACGGCCAACAAGCGGATCAACAACAGCAGTTGGCGCTAGCTCAATTTGCTAAGCCACGAAATAGGTTTGATTTGCAGCACGGACCGAATCAGCAAAGTTTTATACACTTTGGCTAAAAAGAAAACTGCTTAATTGAAATGACGTAAAAATATTTTTAGGTTTAGTATTTATTGCACGTTTTTGTACATAGTGTTTAAGCTGGGATGGGCTTATTAGTTCTGGCTTATTATATTTTTATTCTCCGTTTTTCTTTATAACATTTTTTACCTCTGTTATTGTTTTTCAAAAGAGTTTATTTAGATTTAGGTTTTGCTTTGTGCTCTCTATATATTTTTTGTATCCTTAGCTCATTATATTTTATCTTCTGAGGCTATGTGTAACTAAAATCTGTGATTTTTTGTAAATTTTCTATAACCTTAGTCAACGTACTTGAGGCCAGTCTTTATTTCTTACTTTTATATACAAAGTGGCAAAAAAGTCGCGCATAATAGGTTTGTTCGGACCTAGTTCAGAATCAGTTCTGAATTGAGCTGCGTATGCGCATTTGTTTATTTATGTTCGATATGAACAAATGCGCAAGCGCAGTTCAATTCAGAACTGATTCTGAACTAAGTCCGAACAAACCTAATCGCTGTAACTTTTCAATGACCTCGTATACGAAAAAGTGACCGTAATGAAAGTTGTTTAGTAAATTATCCCCCACATTTCTACCTGCATGAATTTTTTCTATCAATTCTGGTTTGGTTTCCATCCAGACCAACCTGGTTTTTTTTTAATGAAACACCCTGCATTTGATTGCATATTTGGATTCTACTGAAAAAACTATGATTTTTTTCGTATTCAAAATTTTCACCCATTTTCAACTGTTTCCGAGACATTCAAAAATGAAAAACAGATTCATATTTTTGAAATATTGCATTTTTCTTTTTATGATATTAGGAATTTATGGTTGCGGAGGGACATTTCAGCTGTCATTATCTCGGAAACAGTTGAAAATAGGTGGAAATTTTAAATGCAAAAAAATTATAGTTTTCTCAGTAGAATCCAAATATCCAATCAAATGCAGAATATTCCATTTAAAAAAACAAATTAAGTTTGGATGGAAACCAAACCAGAATTGACAGAAAAAATTCATGCAGGTAGAAATGTGGGCAATAATTTAATGAACAACTTTCATCCAGGTGACTTTTCCGTATACGAGGTAATTAAAATGTTACAGGTATTATCCGTATTTTTTTGCAACTCTGTATATATACCTAATATACAGGGTGATTTACGTAGCCCGTGCATTAGAAGTTTTTGAGATTGCAGGAGGATTAAAATCTTCAAATTTGGTTTCTAGCCATAATGATTCGTTCCGGTGTCACCTAAATTTTTTCAGATCCACAACTATACAAATGTTAGGACTAACTTTCTTATTTCTCGCATCTTTTTCAACATAGCTGGGTTGGCATTGCAATTTTGAGTTTGGACCACCCAAGTTTTATCAACCTTCTCTTATAGTTTTTGACACATGTAAATGTAATTTTTTGTTATAATTTGCCGCTGCAGTTATTCAGAAAAAAAGAAGGATTCAGGCCAACTCCTGATGAGTCACTATAGTGTGCCCATTTCATACCAAATGGTTGCAGGCGACCTACAAACATCGGAATCAATAATGGTCCAAAAATTTTTGTTTTTTTAAATGTCATTTAGTATTATGTTTCTTGGCACCATTTGCAAGAAAATTGAACTTTACGTACCTAGCGTTACTTAAGGATTCCTTATACCTAACTTGATTCGTTATCGAGTTATTCATTAGAATCAAGAAATCCCGTATCTTGTCCAACCGTTTCTTGAGGTGTAAACAAAAACAAACAAAAAAACACACAAAAACAACAACAGCACAAATAGTTATTTTTCTCCGGATGACATTCAAAGAGGCTTTTTATTAACACTCGGACAGGCGTGAAAGGTGTATTCTGACCGCCTAGTCACAAAAAGTGGACTTGACTGTAGATAACTCCATAACAAATCAAGTTAGTAATGTAAAATTCAATTTTCTTTCGAATGGTGCCAAAAAACATGATAAGTGACATTTAAAAAACTTAAGGTAGGACCATTATTGATATCGATGTTTGTAGGTCGCCTGCACCCATATGGTATGAAATCGGCGCACTAATGACAATCCAGAAGTAAGCCTGAACCTTCAGCTATTTATCTTCCAAATTTGGTTAATTATTTTAGAATGGTTTTCGAGAAACCTTGTTTTTCCTAATCAACTGCAGCGGCAATTTAAACCAAAAAATGACATTTATGTAGAACACTATAAAAAATAGGTTGACAAAACTTGGGTGGTCCAAACTCACCAACTCTCAAACTTGGTAAACCCTGTATAGTTGAAGATCTGAAAATTTTTTAGGTGACACCGGAACGATTGAGTATGGCTACAAACCAAAGTTTCTAATCCCTCTGCAACCTCAAAAACTTCTAATGCACGGGCTATGTTAATCACCCTGTAAATATACATATATGTATATCTTTATTTTTTTATTTTTGTATATATTTTTTTGTATTTTACTATCTTGATAAAAGCTCTGTTATGAAAGAATGATATATTCTATAATTTTTCCAAACCTAGTTTAGTGAAGGCCTATTCTCATCTAAGCAGCATCGAGTAGAGAGCAGCGCGGCACGGCACAGCAAAATGCTGCTCAGTCTGCTCTTTGGTTGGTACTCTGAGTTGGTAGAACACACAAAAACAGTATGACAGCCACGCGATTTTTTGAAGCAAAGTTGAATGCGGAATCAAATTCTCCTGGTCAAAAACAATAGGACACGATGGTCGCATATATAGATATAGTAAAATCGTTTAGACAAACAACCGGTATAGGTGTTCTGATGAAATAATGTCAAAGTCAAAACAAAACTAGTAAGACGGTCAAGATAGAACGTACTGATTTATTCGAGGATTTAATAGTTTGTCTGAACACTTTTGACGTGACTCGCGCATGGGCCACAAAACAAAAGTTGAATGACAATTCCTATTTATTCACGTACCTGCCTTACCTTGGCTGAGCAAAAAAATACGTACACTTCTCAACTAAGTATTCCCTCGCCATTTACCTCTGTGTTAGTAATAGGAGTGACAAACCTAAAAATTTTCATAGCTATTGTTAACAAGTTTGCAAACTCGCCATGATCCAAGGAAGCAAACGGGCATGAAATGAAATAGGCCAAATATAGATAAAAACGCGGCATTGAAAGAGATGGCGGCAGAAAAAAATAAAAAATGTTAATGCATCGGGGAAAGATAAAAGAACACCAAGATGATCCAACACATGCGACACAAGAAAAGGGTAATTTGGTAAATGAAAGCACTGAAAATTGCCAGAGAAAGAGAGCCCTAAATAGAGTTCTGCGATTTTCCTATAGACAGCGGTTTTTGGAATCGAGTTTGTCAAGAACAATTTTCTAGCGAATCGATGAGAATCTTGGGAAATGTATGACGTTATGTTGGAACTTTATCCATAGGTTCCTACCTACATATTATTCTTTGAAACCCCTTTTGTTAAAGAATTAACAAGAGGGCCAAGAGGCCCATAATATGCTCAGCTTACTCAGCGAATAATTATTACGGGTGGGTCAATAGTTAAATAAGTACAGAGTGGCTAGGGCGCCACTGAACTTGTGAAAATAAATGAATAGTTAAATTATGTAAAATGTTGAAGTGTGAAAATTCAGAAACACATCTAAAAAAAAATTAAAAAGCTATATATATCACAATGTACATCAATATAGTTGCCATATAAGTTTATTAACAGTCGCTGGCCATATCATTAACTTGAACAAGAAATTAAAACATGGATGCTTCAAGTTCTCAGAAAATTTAATTGAAAAAAAAAATGAATAAATGAAAATTGTAATTTTGTATGGATAAACATGGTCAGCTTCTGTTTAAAAAAATAAATTTAGTAAAACCAAATTAAACCTGTATGAAATTTAAGGTTAGGTTCAATGGTGAAGGTATACAGAAAATATAATAGAAATCCTCAAATATATAAGTTATAGAACCCAGGTGAAAAATTGATCAATTTTTGACGATGTAGGTACTTACTCAATAATTTTAAATTTGGAACATATTGTCCAACCTTGACTTCAGTTCAGATTATTGATTATGATTGATAAAATTTACATTCTGAGAACATGGCAGTACCTACTAAAGAAAATTAAAGATAATTCAATAAAAAATTCGATAAATCGGAATAAAAGAAAAATAATTATTCAACCGTCACTTCGGTGTCAAAAATGCGATATTGAAAATTTTGAATATCTAAAGCCGTCCATTTTGTCACTTGACGAGAGAAGTTGCAGATGGAAATTGCAGATTCTAGCCTTGAATCAAGGTAGATAGAGGCTAGAAGCTCACAGTTTTCGTCAAATGTTGAGGGACAGGTATTGACATGATTCTTCTAGGATATCCCTTCAAAAGCTCTATGCCCATACTCCACGAAAATGGTGATCGTTAGAAATGTAGGCTCGTTGTAAACGGGCTCCTCGAAAGAAGCGAGCTCCTCGGAAGACCCTAAGTAACAAAGGCATTCCATGAACAACCATTACTTTCAAAAAAATTAAAAAGAACTTACCACGAGGAGGTTCGAGATTCAAACTTGAATAAAACGGTAATCACAAATTTCACGGTAATTTCGATTTCCAAGGCTTCCCATTTAATTTACATTGCTGTCGGTCAAATTCGAATCAAATTTCTTATGCGATGTTTTCAAGAATTGGGCCACTAATGGCCGATAAGGTACTTTTTTCCACGAGAACGGTAATTGATATTTCACTTAGGAAGATGGCTGCCCCCAGGCTAGGATCAACCTTTCAGGTCGAAAGTCAAAATTTAAAAGGGGTAAAGAATCGGACAAGCTGAACAAGCAGAGCTTCCCCTCGAAAAATAGCCTACGGAAACTGTTGGTACTTAACTGGTACTTCAAAAAGGAAAAGCGTGCTCTCTAGGTTAATAATTGCTATATTGGCGGCAGAAACCTTCTTCTAATAATGGCAGTCCCCAGGCGGTCAGCATTCAAGGCGACAATTTAGTTTTTATAGTAATATATGGAAAAAAAAGACAGTAACATTTAGCATGTTACATCTTGAAAAAAATAGTATGACGTATAAAAATGGTATATTAGCCTTCTGCGGCATTGGCAATAATCACGTGCCTACAGGTGGCGCTGAGAAATGATGGTTTTTGAAATACTTCAAATAGGAGTGGAGATAGTGGTGAAACATTTTCGTCCCATAAAATTTGTACTATTTCCATTGCTGTCAAAAAATTTTATGCTATTATAAAGAATTCGAAAGATTTGGAGCTCCAGATTTATGAAAAAAGTTGGTAAGTAAGCAAGTAATAAACTGTATTATATTCCATCAATATGCCATTTCCTTTATATTTTTTTTTTTTTAAATTTTATCCAAAATTTAGATTATGATTGTTCAGATTATGTTTTACAAACAGTGCCAATATGTAATCTTTAGTGACAGTTGTATACTGTTGGTTGTTGTTCCTTATTGAATAATAATGTAGAATACCAAAAGGGCAATCCTTTCCCAAGCAGCTTTCTTCTTTTCTCATCAGCCTGCTCTCTTCCACTCCTGATTGTAGGCCTGCCTTTTGAGGTTTTCCAACACTTCTCCTGCTCTCTCTTAGCCGGCATGCTGTAAGTTTGTACGTCTATCGTTTTGTGCTCTGTATCTTGTCGATTGCTTTCTGGTAATCAATGCATTATTATTCTGCCTTTCAGTTTCAGGTATTTTTCCCTATATCAACTACTTGTTTAGGAGAATTCTAAAGCTTTCTCTCAGCTTTTCTTTCCCTATTTTACACATATTAGTTATCGAATCATCGCCAGGGCTTTACTTATTTTTCATTTGACCGAGAGCCTTTGTTAATTCTGCGTTATCTTTTTCGGGTATCTTTTCTGAACCGACACTTTTTATTTCCTTTCTTTCGTGGTGATGAGGACCTTGAGTTTCTGGATTATATAGCTCTATTTATATGCCGTGGACCACAATTATGATGTTCTCTTGGGTAGGTACCTACTAACTAATTTGTGTGCTATTTACAAATTGTATAATGCTTTCTTGAGTAATTTCTTGTTTTCATGTATTCCTCTGTTTATTTCACTATCCCTAGACACTCAGTACATATTATTTCTTCGTCTTTCTAGGAGATTCCTGGATTCTGTTTCTTTCTTTCTTTTTTTTACTTCTTTTTTTTACTTCTTAAACCATGCCTCTTTGGTTGCTATACCTTGTTTGCTATTGTTTATGTGTTCTAGTTCATTAACTCCCATTTATTCCTCATCTTCTTCAATTTAAAATTTTTTCTTTGTTAGGTTTCGAAATTTTTCACTGTTTCTTAGTAATTTTTGATTTGTTGGAATGAATAAATAGAAAAACTAAAGCAAACGAGGAGTTTTTTTTTGACAATCTTTGGTGAAATACTAATCTAAACTGTGAAGAAAGCAGCATATTTATAAAATATAAGTACACTGTAATATCCACTTACTTTTCCATAGAAAAAAGAAGACCTACACAGCAGGTAAACCAATTATAAAATAGGTAAATGTTTATTATAAATCATACGTGGTATATTGTTGCCAAATCTACGCTTAGGAAGGACCTACAAAACGAAATCTCAACCTCTTAGAGTTAAAGATAACAGAGATAAAAACAACAAGAAAATGCATTTTTCAGGCTATACTTTTCTACAACTTCTGTTCGATTAATTCTATTTGTTCCATGCATCATAATAGCTGGTCGGTATTGTAACTCAGCTCTTATCAGACGTTCTCGTTCTTTCCTACGATTCCATTGGTCCTCTGTATCTCTTCGCCTTTATCGTTCGAAATACTCCGAGCCTTGATGGAAACTTCGTCGCCATATAGTTATATTTATAGCCGTAGCCTCCCAGTCACTCACGTCGATCTGTCACGTTTTCATGTTTGCCTTGAGGATATCTTTGTGTCGTTTAAATTGTCCTCCTTTGCTGCGTTGGCCATTTTTCTATTGGACGTACATAATTTGCTTAGAAAGACTTGAGTCTGGCAAGCGGACGACATGACCAGCCCAACAAACCTGATGCTGGATGAGCATTGTCCTAATGCTGGAGGAATTAATTTTCTCAAAGATACTGTTGGTCGTCCGACGATCCTGCCATATCCAACGCCGGTTCAACCCACAGGCATACAATGTTTTTCAGTTTCTTCCCGAAGGCGAGTTCGGAGTAATAAGCAGATTCCAACGTTTGGCATATGAAAATTTTTCACAAGATTGGAATTGGTTTCTTCAACGCAGGTCGTATTTCGGAAAGCGCATGTGTATCATGTATGCATATGCATCAGCCTTGGACATGGACATCGAAAATGAAAGAGCTATATTCATCATTCAGGTATATTTGTCAATAACGCAGAAGAAATCTGTCAAAATAATCTAAATATATACCTACAGGGATTGTTTATTGAAATTTATTTTAAATACGCCAGGCTTGTTTCGTGTTTTGGAAAGTATGGGTATATTATTTGGGGTATCAACAACTTCTAAAACAAATTTAATGTGAAAAAACCCTTTCAAATGACAAACCATGTAGTACAGAGAAAATAAGTAATAAATGAAAAAAAAAAAAAAAAAAAAACATGGGAGGAAGCGAAGTTAAACGTCAGAACCAACAAAGAAACTGGAAAAAGTTATAAGGTAGGTAATGATTAAAAAAAAAACAGTAATTTATTATTTTATATTTGAAAAAATTAATTCTATACGCACCATTCAAAATTTCTCGCCAAACTTAAGCGATAAAGAACAAAATGTTTTATTGATGAGTACTTTATAAGTATTCTTGTATTTTATTTAATGTAAACTGTTTTGTTCTGAATAAAAGTCATTATTTATTTATTTATTTATTTATTTTATTTAATCTAAAAAAATATAACCCGCAATCCGCTTGTCTTGAGTCCGCTTACCCCCAGGCCGTTGTCATCGCATATGAACATGATAAATCACTCAATAAGACGGATACTGTATCGGGGCTATAAATCCCGACATGCAATTTAATCGTCACGGGTATCTATGATGGTAATGCCGTTTATCAGCTGATCCATCTACACCTTGCTCGCTGTCTGGTTACAGGCATGATCTATTGCCATTTAATTTATCGCCTTCAAAGATATTACGTGTAGCGTGAAGAGTGTGGGGTGGAATCGTGCTACATTAATTGTAGTAGGTGTGACTGATGGCTGATGATCTCCTACGAGACTTTCGGCAATTTGGAATTACCATTCCAGGAACTAATATTGTCACGATTGATCTGTAATTTCACTTAATTTATTTTACCACAAAGTTTTAATTTTCAGTCTAAGCTGAACTGTGAGGTCCTAAACGATGAACTGGCTTTCGAAGTCCGATGGGCTATTGCTGGAGAAAGTATTGTCCTTCAGGTTGTTGCCAAATTAGGTACGTATTCTTTATTATGAATTATTTTGCAAACCCTTTCCTACTTACTTACCGCAGTATCCACAAGTACAGTGGGAATCATTCCAATTGGCACATACTATACTCTTTTAACATCCCTCGTATTGAATCAAAATTCCTACCAATACATCTATTTAATGCAGTGGTATACAAATATTTTTTTCCTTTAACAGTTTATTAAAACTCTGTAATATGTTCACGACTGACTTATCATCCGACTCGATTTTGACATCACCTGTGTGTCAAAGAAGTAAAATTTTGGCACATTACGGGGGATGTTTATATAGTGTGTGCCAATTGCAATGATTCTCACTGTACATACCCAATCCCACTGAATTTTTCCAATTTTTTGCCATTTCATTCTTGCTGCTTGTGAGGAAACATTTTTTACTTCTGTTTTATTGCGGATCCATCCATTTCTCTTCCATTCTGTAACTTTGATGTCTAGAATATGTCTCCCCTATTTTTGCTATATTTTTCTTTGTAAACTTTTGTTTCTTTTTTAATTTCTCCTAGGTATAAATATTCCGTTACTAGATGGAGAGGACATCCTTACTCTACAATCTCGTTGAATATGCCCAAGCTTATGGCACCGGTAACAATCTAATCGGTTTCTTGGTGTTGGTATTTCTCTGGAGTCGTTTTTCATTGTTCTGCCTTCTAGTAATAGTTTCTTTATTTCCTCCATGAAATTACTCATAACATTCTCGAAACTACCATCTTCTTTTGACGATTGTTTATCATTTGGGTATTCAATGGACATTGCTCGAATTCTGGGTAGTGAGGCACCAAAGATTGCTTCCAGTTCCAATGCTCGGACAAGGGCTTCGCTACTGTGTCTGAACTTAGACATTCTCAGGTTTTTCTGGATTTTGGAATCTCTTAAACCATCAATGAACGCAGCAATGAATCCTTGTTTCACTTGAGTTCTAAATACTTCTTGCCTCTAATGGTCTCCAAAGCGCAATTCTAACGTCTGACTTAGATGCTGGTAATTCTGTTGGTAGATTGAAGGAATGGACTGAAGAAGGTCTAAGGCAGGACCTCGTAGCGCCACTAACAGTGCTGTAGCTTTTTCTTGGTCATTCTATCCGTCGGTATTTGCAGCAACTTCAAATTGTCGAATTTACATAGTCCAGGACGTAGAACCGTCAAACGTTGGTGGTTTTATCTTCATACTAGGGTAACTAGAGAATTTTTCAACACTACGTGGATTGATGGACTGTATTTCTAATTTATTCACTTTATCTTCAAGTGCTTGAACTTGGTACTCAACTTCTTGTCTTAATTGCTGAACATCGTTTTCAACTTCTTGAACATTGTCTCTAACTTCTTGAACATCGTCATTAACTTCTTGAAAATCTTCTTCAACTTCGGTTTTAACATCCTTAATCTTTTGTTCCAGGTTAACGACAGATCCTTGTATGGTTTGTAATATTTTCTGCAGTTGTCCAATGTGTTTTTGCCCTTCTTGTTGTCGTCTAGGTTCTTCTTCTTGTTTTTTTTTTTTTTGGTTTAGCTTCTTCTTCTTGTTTTTCTTTTTGTCGTTTGGCCTCTCCGTCTTGTTTTTCTTGTAGTCGCTTAGCGTCTTCTTCTTGTATTTCTTTTTGTCGTCTGGCCTCTTCGTCTTGTTTTTCTTGTTGTCGTTTAGTTTCTTCTTCCTGTTTTTCTTTTTGTCGTTTGGCCTCTTCGTCTTGTTTTTCTTGCTGTCGTTTGGTCTGTTGAAGTTCCAACATTTTGCGCAGAATTTCTACATTTTTTTTGTTCTTCCATTTTTGCTTGTTGTCTTGTAATAGGCATATACAGAATGTCCTGGAATTTCCCTCAAACTCTCTTCAAATATCTTTCCTGGTCTTTGAATGAAGTTCCAAACACGTCGGTGAAGTCACAAATTGGATAACTTGCTTTATTCTCGAATAAAATGTTCTAGAATTTTCTTGAAATGTCTTTTCTCTTAACTATACTCTTAATTACTATTTCAATATTTACAATATAAGGACATACTGAAATAGGTTTATTTTTGTTTTAGCTCCCAAAGCGTTGTTAAGTCACTTTTAGAATTTACAGTGCAGACAACAATGCAATGGTAAAACTATTTCTCATTTATTTTTCCATCCCGTTTGGAGATTCAATTGAATTCGTCAGCAGCTTAGAAGCGCTTAGTTTCTGAAAGAAGGTAGAAGAGCCATTCACTGAATAGGCACTAAGCTCTAAATAAAAAAAAATAATAAAAAAAAAATTGCTTGTGCGCTGTGCGACATAGGTATTTTTATTTTCTACAAGCGAGCCGTTCTCTTTGACATGATTGAGTGAGTTTATTTTAATATTTTTTTCTAAAAAATAGTACTTATCCACTCTACCAACCAGGATTCAATCCAGTTCTCTGCTTTATAAGGGTTTAAAGAAATATGTCCTGTCGACAGGTTCGCACGATAACTTCCCGACTTTAGATAATAATAATAATAATAATAATAATATTTATTATCTCCAGAAAAATTACATTCCAAACAGTTAACTAAGATAAATGTGGGGAATAATAGGCCATATTTGCAGCATCCCGCGCAAGCATGAGTGCTGTTGAGGCCCCAAAAAATTGCTTAAAATAAAATATTAAGAAAGGCTTATCTAAGATCTATGAATATGAAAATCAAGTAACGCACTTGATACTTAAACTGTAAGACGAAGAAAGAGAAGAAGGAGGTGGAAAAATAGAGAAAAGAAGGAAAGAAAAGAAAAAGAAAAAGAGGGCACATGGCAGAGAATAATATATATACTAGAGCGGAGAATAATATTAAAGCAGATAGGAATTTCATGATGTACCCAATTATTTATGTGCAGGAAATTAAGGGCGATTTATCTAGAGCAGGAAATATAATATATTATATTTTAAATTAGTTTTAATTTCATTCTTTTTTTAAAAACACCAACAGATGTAGAAAAATCAATTATTTCATATTTGTTAATGAGTGAGGCAATGGTATAGCTGAATGACTTTTTGAAGAATTCTTTATTGTGAGACGGTATTGTCAAAAGCTGTTTCCTGCGAATGTTTAAATTATGAATGTCAGTTCGATATTTGATTTTATTGTGTAGGTATGGTGGAGTTTTAAATTTTATTAATTTATAAAAGAAGCATAGTGAGTGCAGACTACGCCTGTTAAACATACTTAACCAGCCCAATTCATTCAGTTTATGTGAAACTCGGTCTCTTCGTCTTATTCCACACGCAAACCTAATGCAAGAGTTCTGAACCTTTTGGACTCTCCTAACATCTATCGAATCCAAAAAAGGCCCATATAGGTGATCGCAAAAATTAAAATGCGAGAGAATTAAAGAGTCGCAAATCAAAGTTTTAGTTCTTTGACAAAGATAGTGTCTATGAGAGTATAAACCCCTCAAAACTGAATATGCTCTTTTTAAGCAAAGTGTTATGTGTTCTTTAAATTTGAGTTTGCTATCCATGACAAGTCCCAAGTTTTTAGCCGAATTTTTAAATGATATCGTGTCTTGTCCTAGATTTAGTTCAATATTGCCTAAAAGATCATTTCTAATATTTTCATTACAAAACAGGAGAGCTACCGATTTGTTAGGATTTATTTTAAGCAAATGTTTATTTGATTCATCAAGCAACGATTTCAGATCTTCATTGATCAGCTTATTGGCTGCAGCTACTTCTGAAGGTTTGAAAGATAAATAGATTTGCGTATCGTCTGCGTATAAGTGGTATTGACAAAATTTTAATGATTTTATAAAGTTAGAGGTGAATATACTATACAAAAGAGGACCCAAAATACTACCCTGAGGCACTCCCGCAAAGACATTAAGAGATTCCGAATATTGTCCGTCAAGAGTAACTCTTTGAGATCTCTTTGAAAGGAATGAGGACACAAGTAGAGACGCCGACTTACTGAAGCCTACGTATTTTAAAATCGACAGAAGAATTTCATGGTGAAGCATATCAAATGCTTTTGTATAGTCTAATAAAATGAGCACACTAGCATTGCTGTTGTCCTGCGCCCGCACTATATCATCAGTTAAATCAGACAAAGCTGTTGAGCAGCTATAGCCCGCTCTAAAGCCGGATTGTTTGCTGGGTATTATGTTATTGTTGTTGAGGAATGTATTTATCTGAAGTTCCATAACTTTTTCAAGGATTTTTGAGAGAGTGGGTAAAATAGAAATTGATCGTAAATGACCAAACTCGGTAGGATTTTTAATTTTGGGGAGAGGAATTACATTGGCGGACTTCCAAGATTGGGGAAAGTGTGATTCACTTAGGCAGCAATTTATAATGTGTGTTATAAATGGAATTATAAATGGACAACACAAAGTAATCAGCGTTATATTGAGATTATCCGATCCTAGAGCTTTAGATTTGAGTTTAAGGAGAATTTTGGAAATCAAATATTCGCTAACTGGCTGAAAAAAAAAAGTTTCATTGACCAATAAATTATTTTTATAAAAGTTTATGAGTTCTTGGTTAGGTATATCATTGCTATTTGTTATTTGCGTAAAATACTTATTAAGTTGGTCTAAATTTGTCAGATTACTTGGTATGGTGTTACTTTTTTTATTTGTTATGATATTAAGTTTTTTAAGTTCGTTCCATTTTTCCTTTGTGCTGCAAGTTTGAAGTTTAAAATTTAGGTAAGCTTTTTTTTCAGATCTAATAGCCGATGTTGTGTAATTTCTCAATTGCTTATAATAATTCCAGTGTTCTTGGTTTTTAGTCCTTCGAAAACGGTTTAAAGCTTGATTTCTGAGTTTTTTCATGTATTTTATGTTGTCAGTTATCCATGGACAGTAGGGTCTTTTTTTTCCTCTGTAAACTTTTGAGGGTGCATGAATATCGAAAATGTGCAATATAGTGTCAGTTAAATATAATACCTTTTGATCTATAGATTCTATCTCATATAAAATATTCCAATCAGCACTTTCCAAATCTGCCTGAAATCTGATTAAGTTAATTTGATTTAAAGGTCGATATGTATAAAGATGTTTTTATTTGATTATCTCCTAATTCACCAGGCAAAATTATAATTGTATAGGTACCTAATAGTAAATCTAATCATTTGCCAGAAAATATAAGTTAATATTTTCCAGACGACAGAGAATACATGTCATTTGGTGTTTCCGGTGACCAATTCAAAAGCGTCATGGTAGGCGGAGATGTTGTTGTTGCTTGGGTAGATAAAACCACTCTGAAAGGATACGCTGAAGATTATTACTTGCAAGACAAATCTCAATGTTCTGGGCCCACTGGCTCTTGTCCAGATTCAAAATTCGCGGTATGTATTTGCAAATATGCCATTTTGCATATTTCCTATTGAAAAAATCTACTTTCAGGATGATGCAAACAACATAAGACTTCTCAACGCAGCGATGGTCAACGGTTATTCCATAGTTACTTACCAACGACCACTTAAAGCTTCCGACCAATATGATCAACCCATCGTCACGAACGGTTCTCAGGCGATTATCTGGGCTATTGGACCCTTGAATCAGCGGGATGAAGTGTCGTTCCATAGCAGTTATTTGAAAAGTAAGCAACAATATACCGAAAATGTTGCAAATTGACAAAAAAAAAAAATGTGTATCTCAACTTCTAGAGGATTCGCTGATTGATTTTGCACGACCGGCTAAATGGAATTGCCCACTTCCTGAAGGTGATGTTCCTGGTCCACATACTGTTGCTACTCAAAGTAAACAGGAACATGTGACTGAAGAGGTAGTACTATCAAGAGCTACAGAAGAACAAACAGTTGAACCATTGTCTACGGCTGCTCCACGGAGAGAAGGAGGTAACAAATAAATAATAACTAATTGCAGCTTTCCCAACTCTATTGATAGATACTTACCTATTAATTTTAAAAAGTTTTTGTTGAAAATATTTTAGACTATGAGACTTCAAATTAAGTTTCAACATTATCTAATTATTTATTTATTCTCAACAAAAGCTACAATAAGCCCTACAGTAAGGCTATGGAACATATGAAACACTGACTGAGACACGATACAACTCGATCCCATTAGGCAGTAACGTGTACTTCAATTTAATAGACAAGCGTTTGTTAATTAAATGCCTTTAGGGGTTTTAGGCAACTCAGACCACGCAACTTTACCATCTAAGTCCGCCGGCGCCGATCCATATTGAAAAAAATTTAACATCCGTAATATTGCCTAGAGCTGAAATCTTGATAATCACGAAATAGCCGAATTTTGCCTTTTATTTTGTGACATTTGACGAATAACAGAAATAATTGACAAATTTCAAGAATTTGGGGCGTAATTTAGGGTTTTTGAGGATCTAGCATCAAGAAAATTCACCTCCGTTCTATATTAATACCTACATAATTTGAACAGCTCGTTGAGATTTAGAAATAATGGCTAGAAATCAAATTGTGTGACTTAATTTGAGACTAGTGCTCACGACCATGAAAAATGACATCATGGAACAAAACACACATCTAGGCATAACGTTCCGGAAAGAAATTAGCCAAAAGAAAAGAAACACGAAAGTGAACTTAAGCATAAATCTTAATTTAAAAAAATTCTTTCTGAAAAATTGTCATAATAAATCACACAAACTTAGTATACCTTGTATAAACGGCTCCAAATCGCTCTTCGATGAATTTTCAGAAGAAGAAGATCTAGATGTAGATAACTAAAGATTGCAAATCAGCCCCAGTCATCCTAAGGTATAAGAAAGGGTAGGTACCCCTCCAAAGATTCAGGAAAAGCCCGTTAACTTATTGTTCCAAATTTATAAGACGTTCACAATATTCATTAAAAATCGACTAAAAACATTGATTTTTTTCAACGGCAAGCTGGATTCAGAGTCTGTCTAGAGTAACATAAAATTGACCATTCAAAGAAATACAGTGTTTTCGTATGGATCGACTTGAAACCACAATAATTGAAACGTGCACACACGACTTTGCAAATTTTATTTTTGTAGAAATTCATGTTTTTTTTCTTAGATGTGATAAGGGTATTTTTGGTTAAATAAAGGATAGGAAAAAGATTGTGTAACGATCTTTTCATTCTCTTCATATTTTTCATTGAGCTAACTGACTTATTTTATGAAATTTCAGGAAACAGACGAAGGGGTGGTAACAGAGTTAGTACCAGACAACCTGTAGATGCAGAAGCTGAAGGTAACTAAACAGAAAAATTATATTATTATTTCAATTGAAATTCACATCTTACTGTAAACAATATATCATATACCTATCCCCTTGCACCATTAATAGTTTTATTCATTCTATTAACCCATTGTCCCCAATCGTTGTGTCTGACAAAAGCCTTCCGGGCCCGGTGCCTCCACAAAGAGATGAAGAGTATGGCCCAGTATGGCCTCCATTGTCAATGTCGGGGTGATTTCAGAGGCTCCAATTATTGCTTTGCTGGCAAGTCGTTGGAGCTTGTCCAGCTTTGCCCTGTAGGTGGATTTGCTAAGCGCGTTCCATCAAACTAAGCTCCCACACGTGATCATAGGCTTTATCACTGCAGGTGTGAAGCCAGTGAATTTTGTGGGGTAAGCCCCAGGTGTGTCCGATGGATCTTCTGCAGGCGCAAAGATTAGCAGTGGCCTTCTGGACGATTCTGTCGATGTGATCTTTCCAAAGAGCGTGACCCCTCCCAGGTCCACGTCTCTTCGCTTTGTAAATGGTCCTAAGAGCCCGTAATGTTAAGCACTCTTTGCATGATCACTTTAATGGTGATGGGTAGCCTACCAGCCACAACGATGACAAGATTTTCCTTTCGATGATAAGATCGTCCGCGTAGCCTTGAGTCTACATACATTCCTCGTTCAGAGTGCGGAGCAGCTCATCCAGCACTAGGCACCACAGCAGAGGCGATAGTACACCCCCCTGCAGCCAGCCTCTAGCTACGGTTGAGCTGATCTTTTCACTTCCAATCGAGCTTGTAATGATTCTGCCTTCCAGCATGACACAGATCCAAAGCTTTCTGCAGCATTTTTTATCGAGTCGAAGGTGTTAAATGCCCCTTTGATGTCTAGAAATAGACTCGGAGCCATCGATCTTTGTGAGATATTCCTGGCTCCAGTCTTGCCACAAGGCTGTGCAGAGCCGTCCCAGTTGACGTGGCAGTCATGTAGGCGTGCTGATTAGGGTAGATGGGAATTGTTTGCAATGTCCCTTCCCTATAATTATTGTGTCCACCGGTTTCTTTAGCGTTTTTAGAAGAAACGAGGACTTGGATCGCCAGGAATGTGGTACTTGACCATATGTGAGGCAGGCCCTGAAGAGGCGTATTAGGCGCAGAGCCATTAGTTTCAGCTCTTTTTGTAAAAGAGCCAAAAAAAAGCCATCTGTTCCCGCACTCTTAAAAGCTCCAAATAAGTGGATGGAGCATCTTACGGAGTTTTCTGATACCACCCTCGCAGCTACCTTCCAGTCAGCTGATCTTGCGTGCATCGGTGGCTGATCTTGCGTCACCAGTTTGCATGATTTCAGAGCCAACCAAGAGCCTCCTCTGCGGTAGCGCTATAAGTGCCAGAGGAAAACCTTATAGTGATCCCCAGCTCTCGTCCTGGATCTTTTGAAAGAATCTTTTGCTGTTTGGAGCCTGGCGGATGCCGGAAACTCGTCTACGTTTCCGCAGAATGTCCTCCACGATTTTCTTTTGGACCTTTTTATAAGATTATTGTATCTGCGCTCTGCGCTGAGACTGCTGGTGGCTGTACCAGTCAGCTAGTGATTTAGACTACATGGACCTGCTGAAGAGCCTGCGGGTTTCTTCGCGGGCCTTGTCGAGGTCGGAGTTCCACCAAGGGGTTTTCTTCTTTCCTCGATAGATCCGGAGCTGACAGCTTCGTTCATACGCATTTATGGTTGCGTGGCGTATAAATTCGGCTGTTTCCTCCACTTGCCTTGAGCTACGGCATGGCGTGGAAAACCCTTCTAGCTTAGCCCTTTCTATCTCAACGTATTGGTCGCAGTTCGTGTTCCGGGGGTTCCTGAACTTAGTGAACCCAATCTTGCGATCAAGTTCCAAGCTGAATAGGATGTGTCTGTGATCCGATAGGGACGGTTCGTCAGACACTGTTTACTTGCTTATCATCGGGGCCATGGAGAGTGAGCCCAATGTCAAGTCTATCATTTCTTGTCGACGCGAAGTGACAAAGGTCGGTGCGCTGCCACGGTTCAGGATTTCTTAATCCCTGGTGTGAAGGTACTCCAGAAGACTGAGCGCACTCCGGTTCGCTTCGGTGCTACCTCACAATAGGTCGTGTGCGTTGCCCCCGCATCTGACAATCACCGGAAGGCCCAGTGAGTGACAGTACCCCACCAAATCGATGAGCTTCCGTGTTGGGGGATCAACTGTTCAGTCATAGAGCAAATAGGCCGAGCAAACTACTATCGATCTACTGTCCCAGTCTGTCCTTGAGGCATAGCTTTACCACTACTAAGGTCTCTAGAGCAAAAGTTAGCTATTAGAGTAGATTCGATCCGTCTATCAACATAGATGCAAGTCCTTGGGTTCAGTTGGAAGTCCCTTTTATAGAAAAGAGATCTTTCCACTTTACTTAATCCTTTTACGCGACCCTTTTATGTCCAAGGTTCTTGTAGGAGATATAGGTTATTTACTGCAAAGACATTCAGCTCCTCGAGTGAGATTTCAGAGTCGCCATTAAACTGTGTGAGAATCCGACAAGCGCTATTTAAAGAGGAGAACATTATTCGGTTTTACATATTTTCAATGACATCGTTCCAGATTTTAATAAAAATACTAATTAGTGTATCATTGTATCACTCTAGAAAATATTGTAAATAACCAAACATCAATTATATTACTAATTTTTATATGTCGGGACATCAACAAGGTAAGAACCTCAATTTCAGAAGTAATCACTGACCTGAAATTATTCCTATCTAGGTCAAGCTTCGATGAAAAGAGAACCCACTCGAACTAGCTCCAGAGGATCAAATAGAGGAGGACAACGAGGTCCAACTCCTGTTAAGTCGAAAGACGCATGGTATATTCCACCAATTGAATGCTATGAACCTGAAGATGGAGTCTTTTATGCTCAAATGGGTCCTACTGGAGGAAAGAGAGGATATCCAGCAATAACAGGTTAGGAGTTACAAAAATATAATTTATCATTGAAAATAATTGAAAAATTTCTACTTTCAGGTCATGTTGGATGGGGAATATCATGGTATATCAATGGACTTCTTATACCAGAAATCAACGTAGTTAGAGGAAAAACATATACCTTCATTGTGGAAGGAGGCAACGATCCGGAAGTATCTGCCAAATATCATCCATTCTACATCTCAAATGATTCTATCGGTGGCTATGGCTACAAGACCCCAGAAGAAAGAATGGTCAGTTTTGAGATTTTTTTTTTTTTTTTGATTCACAATTTAACATAAAATATTTTAGAATATCACTGTACACGCCGGTGTGAGATTTAGCAAATACGGCCCTGCAGAACCCATTGGTACTGGTAGGTTGTGTCATTGGACGCAGACTGGTGACAAAGACGCTGATGATTTTGAATCATTTGGAGCATACCAGCGAACGCTACAATTAAAATGTGATTCTGGAGAACCAGGAATTATTCAATGGAAGCCCGATAAATATACACCGGATACTCTTTACTATCAGGTAATAACCAAATAATTGGCCCATTATCACGTTTAACAAGAACATAAATTACATTCCTGAACATTACATTTCTGAAAACTAGGTGTGTTTCCTTACTATTCGCCCAATAGATGTAGGTCCACCTTGCCGCCTTAATTTTCTCGACAAGGCATTTAATGCGTCATATAATGCTTTTATCTGGCGGTGGATCTACGTCACCATTAGGACAGGCTAGTAGGCACTCCAGACACCAGATACTTTTTCCTGAACGTAACTTTGCGAATAAACTCTCTCTGAATGAATAGTCCAATGGGTACGGCCCCGCCAGTTGTGATGCATCGGCGATCCTGGGAAAAAATTTGTTCGCGTCTAGGTCAATTTATGTGAAGAGTGGTTAAGCTATAATTCCGTGAATCAATGAAGCGCGAATTCTTCACTTCGAAAACATATAATTATTATCACCTTTGATTCGAAATTTTAATAAACTAGAATATATCAAAATGTATTATTTTGAAAATATTTAATCTAATTTCTCAAATTGACCTCATCCAGCATAACATTATGTAACAAATTTTTGGAAAGTTCGATTTTGCCGAATGTGCCAAAGAAATTTCACCAAGTACTATTTTTTATTTTAATTTCAGTGTTTCACTCATCGACACCTAGGATGGAAAATAAATGTTCACGATACTTGTGAACAACCATCCGCCAGTATGATTGAACCTACTTTTATTGAAGCTCCTTCCAACTTGGAATCAGAAAGTAAACCTTCAATACGACAGGATACAATGGTAAAGCCAAATCATATATTCGAAGACTTCAAAGCCTATGATAACAAATCTCAACCTACAGTTTCAGAAAACCTCAGTACACTAGACCACTCAACACTCTCCACCAGCCAGAAAAAATCAGATCAGATTCCGAAAACCTCACTACTTATGTTCCAATCACCACAGAGTCTTTTCATCGAACCTATCGCTGGGTTTGCACAACAATCACAACAAGCATTCAAATTTAGGACAAGTCCACCACATCATGACATGACTGAAGCTGACTTTAAAAATTTGGTCTTTAATCGTATGACCACTGAAAGACCAATACTACCCACTAAAAATGTTATGCGTATTAATTTTGTTCCTAAGCCAGTCAAAATGATAGGTAAACCCAAACAAGCGAGTCAACTATTTTATGTACCCTTAAACTATCACAGTAAAAATCAGTTTTCACCGCACCAATCTCCATTAATTAACCAGAAACATATTTTTCACAGACACACGCCGCATGTGAAATTAATTCATAAGCCAAACATTCACAGACTTCAACCTCAACTAAAACTCACCTCAATCAAATCAACACCTCAAACTTTCAATACTTTGCCGATGCCAACTTTACATACAGAAACAGTTTCTGAAGCTAGCACACAATCGCAGTTTTTAATAAAGAGTGTTGAGATTTCTCAGCTACAAGCATCTACGGAAAGGGAGCCACAAATCCAAACAGCTAGTCCGTTATTGTCAATTCATCCCTCTTCAACTGAAAATTTTCATAACACTCAAACAGCAGTCAATAATGGTTTTAAACCAGAAAGTATTGTAATGGAACATGGCTTCAAGCCAATAATAACTAAAACTATTAAAGATCGTCTAGATGACATAAAAATAGACAAGACAAAAATAAAACATAAGAAAGTACCAAAAATTGAGCAGGAAATTGTTAAGCTTATTGTCAGAACTCGTAGCCTAATAGACTCTGATTTTGAGCCAGAAATGGCAGCAGCTGATAAAGTAGAATCATATTATCTCCCACCAGTTGATCAAACTGACAAACCCAAATTGAAAGGCGGTAAATTACCTTCAGAAATTGATTTTGATACTTCTCCAAATTCAGGTGAAATTTCTGCTTCAGCTCCAGATGTATTTGTAACCTTTGATGGCAAAAGAGTATCTGGTTCAAGTCTAACAGCTAAACCATTCGATAGAACTAACGTTTTAGAGCGAGGATCAAAAGCAACTGAATATTTGAAGAGCCTGCCTCAGTCTGTACCATTCCGGGGCGATTTACCACCATTAAATTCGAATGTGCTTTTTAGTTCTAAACCTCAAAGTCCCGCTTCTAAACCTGTTGTTCTGAACAGGGATTTGGATACGCCTTATCTGCCACCACCTCCGTCAGGTACAACAAAACTTAGAAGAGTTAGAAAATATTCTGAGGAAATTAAAACCAAAATATAAGTGAGGATTGTTTTATGAGGTTTAAGTCTTGCCAGTTTAGTGAAGTTAAGCATTGGTTTAGAAAAACACTATTTGTATTGAAACATTGAAACAAGAAATTTTTTATACTTACCTAATTACTTAGTTTTCTTGTTGAACAACGAAGTGTTAATAACGAATGTGTATTTATCGAATAAAAATCCCATACGTATTTCTCAATATTGTCATGAAAAAATATTATCATTCTATATAGGTATATTATTATTGTATATGATTCGAATAAGTGCTACTCAAAATTAAAATAAGAGGATAGGTAGGTATAAATGATTCAAAATAAGTGGGTTTTATATTTTTTCACCTTGTAAATAACTTTTTTTTCTTTTGTTAGGTATATTAATTATTTCTACTTCTCTTTGAATGAAGAGTGATATTTTTTTTATTTCACATAAATAGCTTAAGATTAGATATTATTGCGTTGTTTTTTTTTTTATATACATTTTAAGCATGAATAAAATCTGTTACAACTTCTTGTTGTCTTTCACTTTACAGACCTCACCTAAACCAATGTATCATCCACCCGGATGAGTAGTTAGTTTAGTACCGATAGTATACCTACCTGTTCAGAAAAAAGGCGAATTTTTACACACGTTTTTAAAAAGTCAACGGGAAGCATTTATTCATTCCGTACATGTATATGGCACCCAGCACAATCCCATTGGTCAGATTTAAAATTTAAACCAATTAAACTTCGAGTGCCATACGCGCGTACGGAATGTAAATCGGTGCCATATGCACTTACGGAATGTCATACGTAGTTATGCAGCAGATTTTAAACTGCAGTAAATACCTACTGTATCTCAAATTAAGTGCTAGTATGGCGTATTGATTTTCAAATTTTTTTACGGAATTTCGAATGTAATAATTATGTACCGGTATTATCAACACATTACAAGCATGCGGTATATTAATCTAAGTTTCGGTGAGCAAAGAAAATTTAAATGGAGTATCAGAGAATCAGAGCGAAAGCAAAAAGCGTCAATACGTATATTGAATAATATAATCATTAATCAAAGACACAAATTCTTCCACCCATCGTCTAGCGTCATTTTCAGTCATTAGGTTTGCTCTATATTTTCCAGGACTCTGTTCAAAATATTTATAATTCAAAGGTAGCAACTTGTCACTTGTGGCATCATGCATGGCGATTTCAAACACCCAAATAAACAGAAGAGATCTGATTCAAATAATGTCGGCGCGAAGCATAAAACTGCCAATTTACTGTTCAAAATATTTCTAAGAGAATCGAAAGAGTGGAAGCAACGCCAAACTCCATAGAACTACCTACCTATGTAAGCCCGACAATCACAATGATCACAAAAATAAAACAGGATATTTGGCCGCTGGAGACGTGATTTTGCGTACGCATTCCTCATGCCTCTATTACAATCCGTAAGTGCATATGGCACTGATTTACATTCCGTACTCGCGTATGGCACTCGAAGTTTAATTGGTTTAAATTTTAAATCTGACCGATGGGATTGTGCTAGGTGCCATATACATGTACGGAATTAATAAATGCCAACGGGAATGGTGCAGCGGCCACTAACGCCACTACAGAGCTTATGCTTGAGATCGGCTTGTCTCAATTTAATGGCCATGCAAAATTTCACATCTCTCTGCACAGTAATCTTCTTCTCACTAGTGATGCCGCGATATTCGAGACTAGTCCCGTCTCGTCTCGTCTCGTCTCGCTCGTCCCGTCTCGTCTCGTCTTGTCTTGTCTCGTCTTGACTTGACTTTCGAGACGAGACTGGCTTTTGGTCTCGTCTCGTGAAGTCTCAACGAGACGAGACCAGACTCGGCGAGAGTCTCGCGTAGTCTTGAGATTACAATTAAAATTTTTCTTTCATAGCTTTATTATTGGACTATTCTGGGCTATTTGAATATGAAATGAAAATGAAAAAAAACAAAAAGAATCATCCTGCAGTTTTTTTATCAATTTTAATATTATCTCACAAATAATGGAATTATTTTAACATAGGTATAGTCGCCGCCACAGATATTCGAGATTCCTACAAAAAATTATTTCTTTGTCGGCGATGCCCGGATAAACAAAAACGGCAGAAAAAATTACACAGATCCAGGGTTGAGAATAAATTTAATCCAACAGAGAGATTAAATTCATTTTGCGTATAGTATTATTGGTACTTAATTTCTTGCATTAAATATTTGAAAGATCTTTTAAGAAATTTTATTAAACATTATTTACAACAATTTTACAGAATAATTTCAAACCAATATAATCTTGTACTCAAGCTGTTCCTGACACGTGCTCCCTGACTAAATGCAGGCCGGCTGATAATATAATCATACTTTTTTGTACAAATCTCGAATATCTCAAAAAAAAGAACAGGGTGATTCTTTTCTCAAAAACTGCTTTGTCAGACATATTTTTTTTTCATTTGACGATCATATTTTTTCAAGAACAGGGTGATTCTTTTCTCAAAAACTGCTTTGTCAGACATATTTTTTTTTCATTTGACGATCATATTTTTTCAAATATCACGGTTGCTCTTTACTGTGATTTTTCACTCTTTAAATAACCGCTTTTTCACTGTGGCACTTCCGTTATATTATAAAAATAAAAACCATAAATACAGGGTGTCCGGAAAATAGCGTAAAAGCTCTCCACGTAGTAGGAGATCCTTTGGGAAACCCTAGAAAAATAATTTAAAAAAATCCTCCTCGAGCATTCTTGGTAATATAAATATGAAGAGGTAAATGTGGAAATTTAAAGTATGTATGTTACTGTAAATGCCCGAAATTCGGTAAAACCTAGGATAAGCGCGCTAAACCTAGGATGTACCAAAAGCAAGTCGTAAAAGCCCGAAAACTAGTTATTTTGTAAATACTAAGATTTACTGTTTGTGTCCGGTAAAAGTCCGAAATAAAAGCAAAATAACTATTTTTCGGGCTGTTACCACTTGCTTTTGGTAAATCCTAGGTTTAGCGCGCTTATCCTAGGTTTTACCGAATTTCGGGCATTTACAGTAGGTAACATATATGATTGTAATTTATTGTGTGGACAACATCAAAATTGTAGATTTTATTTCCATCAGCTGGCTGTAGGCTGTAGCATCAGTATCGTCATTGAGATCTATCAAGAGTGGTTCAACGCGTGCTTCAAGTATTGTCTATTTCCCACATTCTTGATTCAACCTTCCCCTTAACATGTAGGACACATTTCTTCCGTTTTTCTGCAGTAATCGTTTTTATAGCGTCATTAAATAAATTCTGCATATCTGCAAACTTGATTGTGCTGTTTTCACGTGCTACATGATTTTTGATGTTAGCCCACAAGTTCTATTGGATTCAACTCGCGATGATATGGAGGCAGTCTTAGTATCACATTGTTTTAGCCATTTCATCGATGCAAAGCCAGAAGCCAGTCTTGTATGCCGGCCTTCTTGGAAGCTGTGGTAGGAATTTTCTCCAGCCTCCGTGAATGGTAAGATGCATTGTCTATAACAACCACCGAGTTTTCTTCTAAAGTTGGGAATACTTTTGAAAACCAATTTTCGACGGATCTTCATGATAGTCCCCACTTTTACTGGACTCAAACGACCATAGACCGCCCGGTCCAAATCCATCTTCGCTTCCAATATGGCAAACTATATCAGCCTTTTCCCTTTTCTTGAAAAAAATGAGAAATTTAGTTCACTCTTGCAAAAATTTGATAATGGTAGCGATTTATGATACAAACAGGTAACTGCATACGCGCTTACGGTAAATTCCTCGGCAACAATTTTAATAATATATTAACTATATCTATAACCTGTAATTACTAACAGTATATTTATATAGATAATTTCAAACGACTGAGTCCCGACAAGTCACATGTCACCACAGGCGCCGGAACCATGGGCGCAATGTGAATTTCCTATGGGGGCAGAGCCCCCATAGTGATTTTGGTATTGTGGGTGTAATGGGTAGGCACAGAGATATTGAGTTCCTGTTCCTAACATTTTTATATCAAACTTGGGTGTTTAATGTTTTTGTTGTTTTTGCTATACCTACTTCAACAAACATTTTGAATATTTATTTGCAATCATATATGTAATCTTGACATTACAGGTTTTTTAAAAATTTGAAAGTGTCACTTTACCTGTGTCACTTCCCTCTTCGATTTCCCTCACCGATTTCCCTATTCGACTTCCCTCACCGATTTCCCTCACTGTAATTTATTTACCTTTGCTGGAAACAATGAGAACATAAAGATAAAAACGTGAAAACAGTGAATGAAACATTTTGGCATGTTTGTTTTATTTTTTTAATATTGAAAAAATTAAATGACTAATCATAATAAGTGGTGTGCTTGCAAATAAAATAGTATACAAACCTCGGAGGAAAGTTTTCATTTTTGTCTCGAGATTATAGTCATAAATCTCTCGACAGTAATGAAACACTCCCCTACTCGGTATGTAATATACTATTTAATGTGTAGTATTTAAACCTCTATTTTTGATAAGTCGTTCTATTATTATTTCCTTTCCGTTCGTTTTCATGATAGGTATATTCACATCACATGAATATATCATGATGTACCAATACACTGGCTTTTTTTTCTTAGTTTATCTTGGACAATTTATATACAGACCGGAAAACCTACTAGACACATAGGGAGTGATAAGACGAATTAGCTTGTACCCGGTTAGGGCGAATCGAACCGGTGCTACCCACAGGCGACTGGCGTAGCCAGGAAAGGGGACAAAGTGGCATTTGCCCCCTTCCCCAAAAGGTCTTTAAATTTTATTAATTCAAAACTGAAATAAAACAAGAATCAATTCAAGTCCTACATCAAGGACGTATATAAGGGGGGGGGTTTGTGGGTTCAAACCCCGTCCCCCCCATTGAACTGAATATTTTTTTTTTTTAAAGAAAAATAAATGTTTTTGGGCGTAGAACCCGAAAAAAATAAAGCTATAGCTACGTCGTTGTCCTACATGAATATTCAAATTCATACATTTATAATTTAAAGGGGGTGTGACCCAAAAATTTAAGTTTTAGTGCAAAAAAATCTAAGAGTAAATATTTAAACCGCATCTTGCTACGATGGTCCGTTTTCCAGTTAGGGCGGTTTAAAGTTACAACTAGGCGTTTGTGACGTCACACTGGATTTTCAGGGACAGTATTAACACGTGTGAAAATTCTCCAAAACAAAAGATAATTATCTCCTAGAGCGAATTGCAACCACTCAAAGTATTAGTGGAGTTCCCTCGTACGAAATTTTGGAAGAAAACGCCAAATTGGGTTACAAGCATGAAATTTGGCATAATTGTCAGGAAACACATTTCAAGAGATCTGACCCGACCAGCCAGGCTCTACGACCCTCAAGACTCCCAATTTTGAATTTTTTTTCAAAATGGCGGACGAGAATTTCCTCAATTTCAAAATTAATTTACTTGGGCAGGATTATACACTTTATTATATAATTTGAGGCCAAGGAATTCAAAAAAAGTATTTTCAAAACGATATGACCTTCAGTAACC